CACATACAGTATGCCACAGTGGTGACATCAGAAAATGTCACAGTTGGAGGAAGGATATTGAAGTCTAGGCTTGGTTACTTTAATTTGTCACTAAGCATCTAATGGTGTATATATATGTGGGTGGGAGAGGTAAGGTTTGTGGGGGGAGGGTGTTAGAAGGTGAGGGAGGAAGTGCCTCCTTCCTGTACTGGACCTAGCTAGCTTCGGCTTCATTTTCCAGGGTCTCCCAGAAACTGTAGGTGCCACCTGGGCATTCCAGAGGGAGAAACTTTCACCTTCTCCCTTCAGGCTGAACCGCTCTGCAAAGTACAATCTTGAGAAGGACGTGAAGGACAAGTTTGTGGCCCTGACCATCGATGATATCTGTTTCTCACTCAATAACAACTCACCAAACATCAGATATTCTGAGAACGCCGTGAGGGTTGAACCAAAGTGAGTGGTGGCCTGGCCATCTGGCTTCCTCCCTGCTGTATAATGTCCCAGTGCTTCTCAGCCAGGCAGGCAGGACCTAGCACGTCATCTGGACAGCAGGCTGGAACTAGGCGGAGGCAGGCTTGGGACAAAGGCAGGTGCTGAGACAGGGCCAGAGGTTCCGGGTTAGGCCCCGCTTTAAGAAAGTCTGACATAAAATCTTTAAACATTTAAAATTTATTCTTTTACCTATTTGTGTTTTTAATAAGTAAAAGAATCTAAAGGACAAGTTAATAATTTCCCTCTGTCTACCCCTTTCCATGATCACCCCTTGAAATAGCCAGTGTCATCTGCATGTTCATACAAACGTATGTATACACTCACACACACACAAATATATTTTGTTTTGTTGACAAAGATGGGATTATACTATGTACCTTTTCTGTAACATCTAACTTATGATTTTCAAGGAACATTACATCACAGACCTAACTCGTTCTAACTTTTAAACCTCCTTTTTTGAGGTAAAACATAACATATAGAAAAATACACAAATAATAATAAGATACAGTTTAATGAGTTGTCATTGTATCAGTTATCTTTTGCTATATAATAAGTTACCCCTAAACTTAGCTTAAAATCATAAACATGTATTGTCTTATAGTTTCTGAAAGTCAGGAACCCAGGCACTGCTTAGCTGGTGGCCCTGACACATACCTCATGAGGCTGTAGTCAAGCTATCTGCTGGGCCGTGGTCTTAGCTGAAGGCTCGACTGGATAGGGGTGGGGACCCACTTCCAGATCTGTGTAGTTATGGCAGGCCCTGCCATGGGAGACTTTCCCTGGGGCTGTCTTAGGACATGGCAGCTGGCTTCCCCAACAGTGAGTGATCCAAGAGGAAGCNCCCAACTAGCACAGCTCTAAGAAGCAAAGAACATATCTCAGGTATTTAGAAATAGTCTTCAGGTTTCTAATCCAAAAGTTGGCTGCAGTGGCAGTAGGTTAACCCTTTAACCCTGGTGTACCTTCTCTGTGTGCTTCAGAACAGAGACTTGAGGAAATCAGGTTCTGGAAGAAGGAGTTAGATGACAAACTTGAGCAGCTTGTGTATGTGACGGAAGATCTACTCATGTATCAGACCAGATTGGAGAAAGCCCTGGAGAGCGTGAAGGAGCCCTTGCACATTACTCAGACATGCCTGGAATACAGGTAGGAGGGAAGGTTCCTCCAAGGTATCGTCTGTTGTGAGAAATGAAATGCTGGGTGGTAGAAGCTGCCTGTGCTAGGTGGTGGGCTAGCTGTGGCAAAGGGGCATGTGCTTATTTGGAGCCTGAAATTATCTCAGCATGCCTGTGCTGCTGGGCAGTGGAAGGAGCACTGGACTGGGTTCATGTCTAAACTCTGCTCTTGACTCATTAACTTAAGTATAAGTTAGGACTAGGTTTGGCTGTGGGTCATCAGAAAACCGCAAAATAACACTGAACTTAAATAAGATAGTTTCTTCCTCTCTCACATTTCAGGAATCTGGAGATAATTCGAGGTTGGCATGGTGTGCCACAGTGTCAGGGTCCCAGGCCTTTCCTATCTTCTTGCTCCACTGCACATGGTTTTCACTCCTAAGGTTACCTCGTGATTCAAGATGGCAGCTAGAGCTCCAGCCATTATGTCTACATTCCAGCAAGCAGGAATAATTAGGGTTTGGCATTCACCATTTCTACTTATATCCTATTGACCAGAACTTAGTCACATGGCCACACCAATAGAAACTGTGAAATAAGTGGTAGTCTTTCTTTTGAGTGGGCAGAGCAGATACTACAGTTATTAGAGGACAAGAAGTCTGCTCCAATACACAGAGTCCTACAGAAGCACTTTGTCCAAGAGCACTGTGCAAACATGCACTTTATTATCATTTCTTTCCTAGAAGTCCTATGAGTAGGGTGATTTTCTCTACTCTGGGGTAATGCTAATGATTTCCAGACCTGTTCCCCGTTGCAGTCCTAGCTGGTGTGCCCTAACAGGTCTTCTTGCTACCAGCAGAGCCCCCTCCATTCCAGTGCATCATCCACACTGGCTCTTGAGTGAACTTTTCCAAATGCAGATTTTTACAGT